TGCTGGGCCCCACGTGGCAGGAGGAATGACTCATTTCCTTGTGAACTTCTCTACGGTTTTGCTGGATTTGGTCCAGTTTTTTTTAAATATACATTTTCATATGGAGTTCAAAGAGGAAGGGAGAGGGAGAGAGAGAGATAGAATCATCAATGATGACAGAGAATCATTGATGGGCTGCCCCCTGTTGAATGGACAGAGCCCACAACCGGTGATGTGCCCTGACCGGGAATCACACCATGACCGCCTGGTTCAGAGGTGGACACTCACCCACGGAGGCCCACTGGCCGGGCCCATCCACATTTTTTAAATAAAAAATGTCAGTCTTCTCCGTTGGACAGTGCTGTTCCCGGGCACGTCTGGGGTCTCACCTGGAGCACGTTCCTCCTAACCACTCCCCTTCCGCCCCCAGCCCAGACACACACACACACACACACACACACACCATCCCCCAGCTCCTGTGCTCACACTGGGGAGCTGCTCCTGTTTGCTGAGGAGCCTCTGAGCAGGAAAGGAGGTGGGAGCCCCGCAGGAAGGGATTAGGAAGCCCAGCTGCAGGGATGCAGGCAGCCTGAAGCCTGAGGAGCACAGGCAGGGCCCAGGGCACCTCTCTGCAGCCAGCAGCTCAGGGCAGCCTGTGCCAGGGGCTTCCCCCTGCATGCCTGACCTGCTTGGAGCAGAGATGGATTCCTCACATTCCTGTCTGCCCACAGGGAGGGGCCCCTGAAGGCAGGTGGAAAGCACACCCCAATGCTGCCAGGAGGAGGCTCCACCTGCTTAACTGCTGGGCTCCAGGGAAGCCAACAGGGAAGCCTGTGACAGGCGGGAACCCCTGTTTCCTTCTCTGACTCCCCTTCCAGAAGCACAGCCTGCCAGCAGCACCTGGGAGCTGGGGGACCATCTCCCCCGGGGTGTGTCCAGCAGAGCCTCCCAGCGGGCAGCTCCCCGTTCCGGAGGGGCTGGGCCTGGGACTGAGGGAGAGCCTGGCTGTGCTGAGTGTGTGAGTCCAGCCCAGACCGAGCCTGTGCCTACTCAGGGGCCTCACGCCTGGGTCTTCCTTCCACAGAGAGAGCTGGGCTGAGGGGTCTCAGTATCTCTTATTTCCCACGAGACAGCGAGTGTCCTCTGGTCTGTGGTAGATACAGTGTCCCCAACAACCGGGCCTTTGGGTGTGACCATGGCAGTGCCAGTCCCTGACATCACAGAGCTTAAGTCCAGTAGAGGTGGCCCACTGGCCCAAGACAGGGACCACTGAGCCTGGGCAGTGGGGAGGAAGCTGCTATGGCACTTCTGTTGGTGGTGGTGGTGGTTTGGGTGCCTAGTGACGCTGGCTGGAGGCAGGAGGACCCCTCAGGCAGGGATTGACATGAACATCAGGAGGAATGGCAGCACTGATTTATTGGCAGTGAGGTTTGTCATGCTCACAGGAGATAACAATAGCACTCCCCAGGAGAAGGGCTCAGGTTTCCTCTGGAGGGAAGCAGGGGGAGCAGGTGGTGAGCCAGGGCTTCCATGTTGGCTGGGAGGTGGGCAGGTCTTGCTTTTTTATGGTTTGAACTTCCCTTGGGGGGAGGGGAGGCAGCCCAGAGGACTTCCTAAGGGCTGACCCAGATGTGGGGCTGGAGGAGGGGGCATGGACCCTGAAAGCTGTCAATCAAACATCCAACAGGGAGTCTTCCTCTTGATTCCAGGGGTGAAAGGGGCTCTGTAAGGGGTGTTTGTTTCTTTGGTTTCATGTCTCCAGGGATGAAGTTCCTGCTGTTATTCCTGTGTTTATACCCCTGTGTCAATCTGAGGTCACCTCATAAAGGTCAAACAGTGACCGGTAGGCCTGGGGGTGGAGGTGTTAGATGGTCAGTATTTCTTCCAGGTGCCACTTGATTTGTCTCCCATGAGGTGATTTCTTCTTCCTCTTTTTAAAATCTGAGGCTGAGAATATTTTTCCCAGATTTTTCTAGACAGTGGAGAGGCAGAAGTGGTGTGTGTGTGTGTGTGTGTGTGTGTGTGTGTGTGTGTGTGTGTATGATGAGAGACAATAATGGATGTGATATAGGACACATGGATTGTTTGCCTCCTCCATGTGCACTGACCAGACTGTGTATCAAGCCTTCAACCGAGATAAGTTCCCGGACCTGGAATGGAACCCCGGACCCTTCCTCTGGGGTTTACTCTATAATCACCAACAGAACAAGTCAAGGCTGTTTCTGCCTTTTAATAAGATTTTATCTGAGACAAACTGACAACATATGCCATGTAACAAACATCTCAAATGTTCCGGATTTCTTATTTTGAAACACACGACCCTGGGAGGAGAAATAGAAGCCCATGTCCTCTTTTCACTGTTGTTCTTGTAATTCTCACCGATATTTTCCCACTGATTTTTAGAGAGAGAGTGGGAGGGAGGGGAAGAGAAGAGTGGGAAACATCAGTGTGAGAGGCCCATGGATTGGTTGCCTCCCTCACAGGGGATTGAGCCTACAACCATGGTGCATACCCTTGACAGGAATCAAACCGAGGCTCTATCCACTGAGCCAAACCAGCTAGGGCCCACACCCTCTTTGATGGTGCAGAGTTGTTCCCATGGAACCAAGACAACTGCTTAAGTTATTATACAGGATACATATTTTAAATCCACTGATTAAAGTAATTCAATCAGAAATTCTGTTATGTGAATTTTACTTTAAAATATTAATGATAAAAGATTAAAAGTATGCACTGGAAGAAGAGAGCAGCCATAAATATATTAGGTACATGGCTGTCATTGAAGTACCATGGAGTCAGGCAGCCTCTTCAATTTGATGGCCCTAAAAAAAAAAACAGTTACCAGTAGCTCCTGTGCAGAAATTTTTCAAAGCTGAGCTGTGCTGGCTGAGGGTTCAGTTGGCGACAACGTGCTCCCGATTTGCCATGGTTTCCTATTGGATCCTGGATCAGCGCACATACAAGAATCAGCCAATGAATGCATCAATAGGTGGAGCAATGAATCTTCCTCTTCTGTCTCCTTTCCCTGTCCCCCCTCCCCCCCCCCCTGCTCTTATCCTCTCTCTAAAATCAATGGGGGAAACCCCACAGTGAGGTAATGGCTAATGCAATTACGTATCCTAGTTTTTTCCCCTTTCACATGATGATGTGAACATTTTCCATGTCAGTAGAGTATTTCAAGTATATTATTAAAAAAGACATTGGATTATAAACTTGAGACTTTCGGGCACTGCACTAATTTTCTGCCATTAGCAAGTTTGAGATGAATCTACGGGTCCTCACACAGAAAAATTTCTAAACTATTTTTATGCTAAAAAGGCAAAATAATTAAAGTTGGGGAAAAAATGTTTGCTTTTCAACAAGCACAGACATGTTTCCTATACTTCAGGCATTTTTTGAAGTCCTTTAAAATATGGATTCATTTAATCTGGTTTTCATGGTCATTTTACAAATGCGGAAACTGAGGCACAGTGGCACTCATCACTCCCAGAATCACACACGTGAGAGCAGGGGCAGGGTCTGCCCTGAGCACTCCAGCTGCAGAGTTCCTCCTCCCCAGCACCTGCTGCCCCATCAGGTCCTTGCAGACATGATCTTCCAGGCACAGAACCTTCTGGAAGGTCACACTGACACTGCTGCTAGTGTGTCTTCAGAGGGGAGGGAGACAAGGCTGAGGATGGGGATGAGCTTTGCTTTGAATGTTGTTCATTCCTCAGCTGCTGGTGTTTACAACCTCATGGATGGAGGGGCAGGTTCCTCTGAGCCCGGTTTGGGGAGACCGCACTCAGTGACCCAGAAGTCCTTGCCTTTTCTGTCCAATTTTCATGTGATTGTTTACAAATAAAATTAGTACACGGAAAATAATCTTCATTTCTTTCAGAAATTAGAATCTGGAGAAGACTAGGCATTTGGCCCCTCTGTCCAGGGTCCTGGACATGCCTGGTCCAGGCGCAGTCACCACCCTGCAGGCTGAGGGGCGTGGCTTGGTCCTCTGTGATCCTCAGCACCTGTACTGGATGCCCCTCCTCCCTGAAGCCCTGTCTCTCTAGGGAAGATCCACCTCAGATATGACAGAGCCCGGCCCCTGTGACCTTGGTTCCTGTCAGTGTGTGTGCCCGGGTGAGCCCAGGAGCTCAGGGAGGAGTTCCCACCCGCGGTTTGGGTAAAAGCCAATGAGAAGTGCTGACACCTCTTGGGATGATGCCCAGATCAACTTTTGGAGGAAAGTCAGTTCTTCCTGTGAGAGTGCCAGCTCCAACCACAGCCCGCTGGCTGGTGGGGACACGTGGAGAGCCCCGCCCTGGTTTTGGGGTGCAGGAGAGGCACCTTGTCCTTCCCCAGTACTGGGGGCTCCTCCCTGGTTCTCACTCCTAGCGCCTGCCCGCCCTGCGCCCGCATCCCGCCAGGGGGCGTGCTGGCCTCACCTCCCTCCACTGGGCTAGGCAGGTGATGGGGGACAGATGCAGGCCAAAGCCCTTCCCTGTCCTAAGCCCTGGTGAGGTGGAATCAAAAGCTGGATCCCGGTGACTGGGATGCAACTGTCATTCCGTGAAACCCGCAGATCCTGGGGAACACCTGACAGTTGTTCTTACAGGGGAAACGTGCACATCCCTTGTGACCCCGGGGAGCCAGAGAGAGGACCCCATGTCCACCACTTAGAACCCTTCCCAACCATTCATGAGCCGGGACAGAACAGGTAAAACTGCAAAGTTTATTAAGTGCCATCTGTTTGCTGACAGGTGAGAAAAGAGCAGAAGGTAATGGGGTTCTGCCTCATGGTGTTCGCTGTAGGCATTGGGGACCTCGGGGCCTCCATCAGCAAAACCATCTCTCACGATTGTCCAGAAACACAGAAAGGGACCATCAGCACTGAGGACAGAGTAGAGTTCCAAAGGAGCAAGCATCAGACGGGCACATGGACTCGGAGAGGCTCCTGTCCCCAAATATCCCTGCAGTCCCAGCACCTCAGTCAGGCTCACTGAGGAAGCAGAATCCGCAGTCATCTGGTCAACCGTTCTTGGTCAGCTGACACTGCGGAGAGAGAAGGCCAGAATTGCAGGGACACACAGTTATAAACAGAAGAGTGGAAAAGTGGGACACAGAAGGACAGCAAGGAGGATGAGAGGGAAATAAAACCAAAAGGAGAAACAAAGAGAGAAAAATGGAGAGATTAAGTAGAGCAGGAGCACAGGAACAGGACTGTTATATCATGCACAATCCGGGATTCCAGACACTCCCCAGTCCCCGGGCACACCCCATGCCTGTGAAGCGGACAGGACCTTACCTGGAACAAACCCTGTCATCCAATGTGGGTGCCAAGCAACAGCCCTGGCCTCTCACTTTTACCACGAAGGTCTCCTGGGGTCTCAGTGACCAGGGACAGCACTGCTCAAAGCAGACCCTGAAGGTGCAGTTTCCACACTTCTGGGTCCTGCTCAAGGGCACCACGGCGTCATCATAGCAACAGTGCTGCTGGGGGTCGTAGAACTTGTTCCCACATCTGGAGTGTGCCTGGCACAGCATCAGGTGAGCACCCGTGGGCGACACTGGAGGAGACAGAGCTGCTGTGGCCCAGATGGCAGGATGAGCAGCGCTCATGTGGAGGCCCTCTGAGAGCCAATCACCACCCGAGTGTCCCTGTCCCTTCCGGGCTCACCTGGGGCTCCATGGGCACAGAAGAGGCTGATGATGCAGAGAGCCGTGGAGGGAGCTGTGGGGGAGGAGCTGGATGAGGTGCAGCTGAAGGGGCAGCCTTGGGTCCCCCTCAGGGAGCCCTGCCTGGGGCAGGGGAAGGTCTTGGGGGAGGGTGATCTCTGTTCTGACTGAGACTCAGGACGAGTGGAATGTGAGGGTGCTGGCAGGATTCTTGGGAAAAATGGGTTTAAGGTTGTGGGGAATGTGGGTGTTTCCTGGGCAGGCCTTGAGAGCAGGAGGCCCAGGATCACTCAGGGGGCTGAGCTGACTGGGTTGCTATGGAGATGACCCACATGAAAGTCTAGAAGACTGGGGTTGGAGTGGAAAAGTGGGGCATGGATGGCATCGGGCATGAATTTCAGAACCGAATCCGAGATGTGGGTGGAGAGGATATTGGGGAGATGGATCGGGTAAGGCTTGGCGTTAAGGAGGAGAAGTAGGGTGAGGAAGGGATGGGGTGGTGGGTGAGATTGGAGCTGGGCTCCGAGGGAATTGGAGTTGGGTCCTGCTTACCCAGGATGTAGCATCGGGGAGTCATGGCTCTGGGTTGGCTGCAGCGGAATCAGGAGAAGGTCTGCAGTTCCCGCAGGTGCTTTTATGTCTGACAAGGGAGAGTGATGTCATCAGGCCTCCTGCCTCCTGCCTCCTGGCCAGGCCTGTGAAGACACGCTGGGACCATGAATCAGGAGAATCTAGACATCATCTCTGGCACCGCGGGATCCTCTGAGAGCCAGGTACCAGTCCCCCCCCTTCATGAGACTTTCCCCAAATGCCTTCCACTTATGCCCAGGGCCTCCTCAGCAAGCAGGACACACCTCAAAGCCACCGCCACACTTCCAGGAGGAGTCCACCAAACAGCATTTCCTTTGCATCACTTAAGTCTTTACATTCCCCACTGTCTTTTGCACATTGCTAACCTCTCACATCCTTGGGTTGGGATGCGGGGTGTGCTCTCAGCTCCCTGACCTCAGATCCCTGACCAGGAGCTGCTCATTAAACCACAGTTCAGGGTACTCAGGTGAAGGTGACGAGATTTTACACGTGGAAATTCCAGGTTGAAGAAGGTTGGGGAAAGAGGGAAATAAGTGGGGAGGATTCTGGGGCGGCTCATGAAACAGAACCAGGGGGAAGGCCGTGGAGGAACCTTGTACTCACTCCCCCAGGGCCCTCTGGCTGGTCTCCTCTGTCTCTTCATTCATGTCAGTTATTGAGGAGCACAAGTCCACTACACACCCTATATGGTCCAGATTTTGTTCCAGACACAGGTGACCAAGGGGTGAGTAGGCTATTCCAAGGTCATAATTTTCATGGAGTTCATGAGAAGAAAGTCAGGAGGGAAAGAAGGAAGATGGGAGAAGTGTAGGGAGAAGAAGAGAGAGAGAATATGAATTTAGTTTGCTTGTTGAGGCCAACATCATTATCAGTATCACTTGCCTGTAAAGTTCTGTGAGAGAAATCTCACCACCTTCAATAGATTCTCCAAGGCTTTGATCTCTAGGATGTGTGTTCAGAGAGAGATGGGTGTGGGATCTCCCAGTGTGGGCCATGCTTTCCCTGGTTGAATTCACACTGAAGAGATCACCAGCTGCTTCAAATTCCATGGGTTGTGGTGCAAGATGCTGCTCATTTTGTAGTGAGACCAGATGCACAAGGAAGCCAATGGGAGGTTCCTAAGTTGTTCAAGTCCTGGGAGCAATTGCCTGTTATATTTTTTATTTTTAATATATTTTATTTATTTCAGGGAGGACGGGAGAGGGAGAGAGAGATGGAAATATCAATGATGAGAAAGAAGAATTGATCAGCTGCCTTCCGCATGCCCCACACTAGGGATCAAGCCGGCACCCAGGAATGTGCTCTTGACTGGAATCAAAACTGAGACTTTTCAGTCCACAGGCTGATGCTCCATCCACTGAGCAAAACCAGCTAGGGCCCACTGCCTGTTTTAATGAACAAACCAATTCTTGGTGCAGGAGCATAGTTTTCAGAGAAGCAGTCACTGTGCCACTTGGTAACTTGGTAAACTCAAGGCTGAGGATGTCTGGCCTCTACTGTGGGGCCATCCAGGCTTTCACTTAAGAAGCAACTTGGAGGGAATAAAATCTTGAGATGTCTTGGCTCTGCTTAGCAGCTTCATGTTCCAGAATTGCTCTGAGTCATGTTCACTCTCTGCTTAAGAGGAAGCCAAGTTTCTCTCCCTACTCTCTTCACACGCACTCTGATCATTCTCAAATGTTATGTTGAAAATTGTCAGCCCCCAAAAAAACATGCCTGGTCCCAGCGTGTCTCCACACCCTCACCTCGTCGTCAGAGGGAGTCATACCAGTGCATCCTGGTGGCACTTTGGATGCCTTCCGTGGAGCACTTGTTACATCTATTTGAGCTTTGTGGTCAAGGAAGACACTTGAGAATCAGGCGCAGTTGTGTTTCATTGTCTGGGGGAAAGAAACAAGATGTTTCAGGGACAAATATATCAAGGGTGTTAGATTCAGTTGAACAGGCCAGCCTACACTCCGCACAAGCAGGTGGGGGATCAGAATCACACACTTAAGTGAAGAGACAGAGAAAGTAACATTCCAGCAACAGAAACAATGAGACTGGTCACAGTGGTCAGCACCAGTGGTGTGGACACAGGCCTTCATTCAAATGCTCTTATTCTTCATTTTTATATGTGTGATAAAATTCACATAATAGAGTTTACCATTAAACCAAGGTAAGTTCAGTGGCATTCAGTGCATTTAAGATGCTGTGTAACCATCACCAGAACATCTTCAACATCCTTTAACCGCACACCCATCGCGCAATCATCGCCCTTTCCACCCTTCTCCAGTCCCTAGAAAACATGAATCTGCTTCCAGTCTCCATGTCCTTACCTATTTTGGATTTTTCCTATGGATGGAAAGGCACAATATGTGCCGTGTGTCTGGCTTTTTTCACTTATCTCAAAGTTCCCGAGATTCATCCATGTTCTCCATGGATCAGTCCTTCATTTCTCAAGAGATATAAAATTTCATTATATGAATATACCACATTTAGTTTATCAATTCATTAACTTATGGACATTTGTGATGTTTCCACCTTTTGACTCTTTGAATAAGGTTACTATAAACATTTGTGGACAAGAGATTTTTGAACAGCTGTTTCATTTATTTGGGTTCTATTCCGAGGAATAAAATTGCTTGTTTGCATGCTAATTTTATGTTGATCTTCAGAGGAACAAACTGTTTTTCCAGTTTTGTACCATATTATGTTCACACTAGCAAATATGAAATTTGCAATTTCTCCACACCCTCACCTCATCGTCATTCTAGAAAATGTCAAGTTGTAAGTCCTGGTAGTTCTGATTTTAATTTCCCTTTCAAAAGGACAGGGATTCAAGCTGGTGACACAAAAGATCTAAACTCACCTCCTCCTATGGACACAACTGTTATCTATGAAATACACACAATCACACAAAACATATGAAACATCAAAAACATAAAACATGGGGGAAGGGAATAAATATGTAGATTTAGAGCATGTTCAAACTTAACTTGCTCTTTACTTAAATTAATACAAACTGATATACCTATGGGCTGATACATGTGAGCCTCATGATAACCTCAAAACAAAAATATAAATAGGTACAGGAAAGATAATCTAATAGATGCAGCCAAATCAGCTCTGTGACCAGATCAAAGTGATAAAGAACTGGGAAAAGAAGAAAGAAACAGAGAGGAACGACAAAGCAACCAGAAAGCAATAAACAAAATGGCAAAAAGTACATCGGTAGGCCTTAATGCCCTCCCATCCCCCAGGAATAGAGCCACTTGAGCAGAAAGGAGGGCATCGGATACACCTTGGAGCCAATGGAAATAGCAAAACATGCCTTATACACTCAACTCCACAGGTCTTCTACTTTTCCCAAGTTCTTTTGCAAATTTTATATTCCCTTGAGCGAGCTCGTCAACGACCTGTCCTTCCTCACACTCCCAGCCTAAGGACCAGCGGGTGATCACTGAGCACCTGACCACAGTGGGTGTTATTTTCATGAAAGAGACCGTGATAGTCAGTGACCTTTTATTTGTAGATTTGGAAATTCTAATTTGAGGAAGTGAGCAAAATGAGAAACTTGCCAGGTTTCTGGGGTCCCTCCTGAAACCAAGACAGGAACTCACATGCCAAAAGGATGTGATGTCTATTCTGTTTTGTTGTTTGAGTTGTCAAGCACACACAGCTGGTACATCTCAGACGCAGTTGCAGGCTCTGAGAGTCTTGCTGAGGCCGCCCTGCAAATGCCACTGTTTTCCTTTAGTTCCCATAGAGGAAGAGGGAGAAGGGGAGGGGCAGGAAGAGCAGTGGAGACTCTTATAGGACTCTTTCATGGCCCATGTAGAAAGAGTTCCAATTCAGGATTCAGGTTCTGGAGAAGGGCCGCACACAAATGAAAAGAGACTTGAAGAAATTCAATTTGGTGATATGGGGGGCCAGGTGGTAGTCCAACTCTAGTGGGAGAACTACTCTCTGCTCTGGCCCAGCCATCCCCTTTTATTGAAGCTTTGGGGAAAACATCTTAGGCAACATAAACAGAAATTTACATGTACCTATTAGGCAGTAAATAACAGAAACTTTCACGAGACAAACACAGTAGATTCTGCTTCAGCTAACAATATCTCAACTAAAGGTTAGAGCAATTAAGGTTGTTGACCAGCCTTCCTGGGTTTCTGTCAACATCTTTTTTAGTGAAACTGATTTGTTTTCCAGAAGACTGAGTGAGAAAATGGGAGAAGTTGTGCAGGACACTTGGTAAGCAATGGACGACTTTAGAAATGATTGACATAACCAGTGGCAATATCATACTTTTTTGTATCATTGACATTCTGGACAAAGGAGTTCAAAGACTCTCCCCTAGATCATGACCCAGTAAGAGTGATGGTAACAGGACCAGGGAGAGCTTCCCACTGTCTCCTCCACAGGGATTCTTCTTCCTTGTGCTGAATAGGCTTGCTCTCTGAAGGAGGCTGAGGGAGAGCTTTATTGCCTATTTTTCTTTCACTCTATTTGAAATCGTGTGTTAGCTGTGATGCAATATCTGTTTGTTCTAGTAGGTGCAGCCAAATCAGTAATATCAGTCATCATTCAAACCAGTAATAAAGAAACCTCTGTGCCAAGTTCCAACTGGCACACTCCAGTCTGGGTCTGGATGAGGCCAGCCTAGATTTCTAGTGTGTGTTGGGCCCTGTGTGTGGGATGAGGGAGCAAAGAGGATGATGCTATGATCAGATGATGCAGAGAGCTTATTCTGCATGGAGGGGCCCTTAGGCGTCCCCAGCCTATGAGATCCAGGCTTCAGCTGAACAGAAGAAATACAGCGGGGACAGGGAGGCTTGGGGGAGGAAAAATTTCTGCTTCAGGCAGCAATTCTCAGAAAGTCGGTATGTCATGACAAACATGTTAGATTCAGTGAGTACACCCTGCACACAGTGCTTTCATTCATTCATACACACCTTCATCCATCCACTTATTAATTCATTCATTCAATATTCCCTGAGCACATGCTCT